AGCCTAACCAATTCACCTGTACCGCATGTCTTTGGACTGTGGGGGAAACCGGAGCACCCGGAGGAAACCCACGCGAAGGCAAGGGAGAACATGCAAACTCCACACAGAACTGAGCCGAGGTTTGAACCAGCGACCCAGCAACCTTCTTGCTGTGAGGCGACAGCACTACCTACTGCGCCACTGCCTCGCCAAAAAAGAGACTTGTTGTCTTTCTATCACTCCAGTATGACTGTGATCACTATACTGGCACACAAACGGCTTACAAAAGTTGATTTTCATCATAGGTGCCCTTTAACTATTAAAGCGTGCATTTCCATATTAGCCTTTTACAATAAGAATTTACCGTGAGTAAAAAAGTCATGGTAATCGATTACAGTTTTCACAGCTATGATTATTTTTTATAATCGTAACCTTAACCATCAAAAAATTCAACATGGTTTATCTTGAAACCAGTAATTGTGACAACAAATGCTATCCCTTGTTATTCCCGATGATAAAAACAATTTATTTTAGCTTTTGTAATCCTAACATTTCTTTTAAAATGTTACATTTATTTTGATCATCTCTATAAATTCTATATTTTTAACAACAGTAACATTAATAGCACAGCAATGTTGATTAATATTGTTTAAGCCCTTTATTTATCAGGGGTCGCCACAGCGGAATGAACCGCCAACTTATCCAGTATATGATTTACCTTCCAGCTGCAACCCAGTACTGGGAAACACCCATACACACTCATTCATACACATACACTACGACCAATTCAATTCACCTATAGTGCATGTCTTTGGACTGTGAGGGAAACCGGAGCACCCGAATGAAACCCACGCAAAGTCAGGGAGAACTCAGCTGGGCCTAAACTAGCGACCTTCTTGCTGTGAGGCGACAGTGCTAACCACTCTGCCACCGTGCTGCCACTCATTTGTTTTATAAATAATAAAAAAATTACGTTACATAAAAAATATTATGGTTATTCAAATAATTTAGCTTTGCAGTAATTTGAATTGTAAGGAAATTTATAATTACAAATTTTTTAATTCCTAAAAAAGTTCTTATTTGTCCCAATATTAAATTTGCTGTAAGTTCACTTTAAACAAGTTAAAAATCAGCTGTTCGTGAACTTGGAAGCATGCACTTTAATTTGCCTTATTAAACTGCAGTTTATTACAGTTACTGTATTTTTCATCTCTCGTCTTACTTCAACAATCAAGCTGCCCGACTGGCCACTCTGGGAACATGGCGAATGTTGACTCTGGGTGCAGAATTCAGTTCCTGGGCTCAAGCTTCTGAATCAGCAGACAATCAGAAGAACAGAAGAGCAGCTTTTCCAGAGCTTTCCAGCGAACGCGGTCTGTATGAGGAGAGACAGATGACCAGAGATGACCAGACACAGCGTGCAGGAGAGTGCAAATATCACAGTGTTGTGGAGCTGGAGAGACGCAGTGACCTGAAGAACACCGATTTCATCAGCGCTCATGAAATGTGTGATGAGCAGGAGAGGTGAGAAACAAAATGTAATAAATAAACTGATTGCAATTTAAACCACACTGAAGGTTTTTAGCAGCATTGTCATTTAAACTGGGTCCAGATAATGGCAATATTGAGAATGTAACCAAGCTGAATTAGGTTTGCTGAATTTACATATTTAGAATACATTTATAGAATTTACATAATTTTTGGGGTGTTTAGGGGAGGGAAATGATGCTTATAGAAAACAAAAAATATATAACAACACAATAAAAAAAGACATTTAGAACAATGAACATTTAGATTTAAGCTAAGGGATAAACCTTATGTAGAAATATTTTTGTCATGTTTTTCAGTGATTATTTTGTATTTTGTTAATAGTAGTAGTAGCAGTAGTAATATAATAATAATAATAATAATAATAATAATATTTTTATTATATAATAATAATAATTATTATTAATAATAACCAATAAAAAATAATAATAAAAATAATTAATGATAATAATATAACTATTAATAATATTAATATTATTATTATTTTTATTATTATCGTTAATTATTTTGAATTATAATTTATTTTGTATTATTATTATTATTATTATTATTATTATTATTATTATTATTCATAATAATACTTGTTATTATTATTGTTAATATTATTGTTGTTGTTGTTGTTATTATTATTGTCAGTACTATGAAATTAGCCAAGTTAAAATCGTTGTAAGTGATAGAAAGGGACTACTATGTTTTAAATCATTATTTTAGCCACTAGGGGTCCTAAAGGTTCAACAGAACCTTTTTTTTAGTGGCTTCAAAGAATCTTTGATCACTTAATGCCTGTGTAAATGCATGTACATGGAAAAATACACAAAAAAATGTTAAAATGAATTTTTAAAATTCAAAATCAAAAAATAAGTCAATAATTAATCACAAGTAATTATTGTATTATACATTGTAATTAGCAACTAATAATTATTAACGTGTGTGTGTGTGTGTGTTTGTATGTGTTTTATGTGTAATTTTTTTGTATTTATTTATTTTTTTTCTCTACATGAATAATTTCTTATATTTTAGAACTGTTTGTTTTGCATAAAATAAAAAAGATAAATACTTTTTTTTTAAATAGTGTACCAATTATGTAAATCAGTATTTGGTGGAATTGATTTGAACCTCAATTTACCCCCACAACAAATAAAGCATTTGGAAGGTGCGTGTGTGCGTGCGTGTGTGTGAGATGAATGTTTTTTGCAGTGCTGCTTATCCACTTCAAAGTGTGGTTGTAGCGTCCAAATAATGCTTGGGAATGGTGTAGCTCAAAGGTTTGAATCATAATGCTAATGGTATCATCTATCGTCAAATGGAAAATGTGCTTGAAGGATTGAAAGATCTGAACTAGAGACTTTCACCTGTCTGTTGTGTTTGACAGTGTGTGTGTGTGTGAGTCTTGAATCATTCCTATGTGATGCCCTTGGGTGTTGTAGGATGCTATGAGATTAGCTCAACAGCCTAGAGTCTCTTAGGAGATTTTGTGCCTGTGGGTCTGGACCTACTACACACACACACACACACACACACACACATGCAATCCTTCACACTTACTCACTGTAATGCCGTGAGCTTCACATCTGGACCTGCTGGATACTTTTTCTTCAACAGTCTTTCCTTTAGAGAGGACGAGATGGGATTAGATAATGTAATGTTTTAGTTTACTGTAATTCCAACTGTAATACTTAATGGAGCTGTACACTGTAAAAAAGCTGTACTGCTAAAACTATGGAAGCTATATTTTTTTGCCCATTCATCTTTAGCCATGAGCTTTTTCAGGTTGTAGCATCTCCTTGCCATCACCTTAATCAATAGCTCCCTCCACAGAATCTCAATTGCATTTAAGTCAGGACTTAGGCTAGGCCACTATATATTTCTTTATTTAACCAGATAAAAACCCATTGAGATCAAGATCATATTTACAAGGGTGGCCTGGCCAGGAGGTCTGCAACAAATGACTTATAAAAAAATAATTATAATAATAAATATAAAGTTAAGATAGCTTAAAAAAAATACAGGTCAGTTGTTCAGCTAGCACATTACAATAAGTCAAAAACACATTCATTGAGAAATACACTGATGTATGTTAAAGGATAGAGCGAAAAGGTTTAGTTGGGATGAGCTCAGATATTTTAGTTCAGACTGAAGAGTATTCCAGGATGAGGTGGTGACATAAAGGCTCGCCTTTTTCATTTCAGTTCAAACCTGGGGAACAGACAAATGATAAGATTCACCTGAACGTAGGGCATACTGGCTTTTTGATTTATGAAGAAGGGATCTTAGGTATAAAGGCACCGGAACCAAAAGAGCCTTGTAAACCAGAGTCATCCAGTAAGTGTACTGTTTTACATTCAGAGAAGGCCACTCAGCTTTGGCACACCATTACCTCACAATGGTAAGTTAGTGTCTCACAGCCTGTAACAAACCCCAAGAGTGCTGTGATAAACAGAGTTTAGAGGCTCAAGACATTTGGTTGAAGCATTCATATATAAAACATATATAAACCAGTCAATCAATGATAAAAATGCTGCAGCCACCAAATGTTGGTGAGCAGAAGCTCCATTGAATATACTGGGGTAAAACGAATGGTTATATTTTAAAGACACGGGGGTAAAAATGTAATTTAATGCAGTGCTTCTTATACAATCTGAAACCCACTTTATATCTCAGCCAGTGGAGATGGCTGATTTTTAAAGAAAATGGACCTTAAACGCGCCGATTTTGTAAATGATTAGTGATAAGGCGCCACTGGCAAGATAGATCCAAAGGATATATATGACCTTGTTGTTTTGAACTTGGTTAACACAAATTTCCCTGATTATTGAATATTTGAGCCTTTAATTGTTTTTTTGATCTATAAAATCTGAAGAAGTTTTATTTTAACTTAAATGTTCCCTACAGGTTAGGAGATCGTCTTGGAACATTTTTTGTGTGTGTTAGGATATATAATTTGCGTTTTGTTCAATATAAGATCAGCAACAGAAAATAACTTCAGTGCTGTTCAAAATTAATTGACAGTGACTGATCCAAAATGTGCACCATGGCAGTATTTTACATAATAGTTGCAAAGAAATTCCAGTAATATTAAACATTTGAGCATTTTTATATTTATTTTGTCAAATATTTTTAAGTGTCAGGATTTTTAGGTTATTACAATAACAAATTTTGAAAACGTCTGTCGCCACAACATTAAGCATTAAAATGACCAAACAAAGACACACAATACCCAGCAATACAACCCAACAAATCGCTTTTGATTTTCTGCAATGATCCCTCTGTATAGCACGTATGTGCCACTCGTGTAGGCTATTGTTCGTTTGTTTTTTAATCTGATTTTAAAACAAAGACGTGTTTCTGCTTTTGTGTTTTACGTCATTCCAGTTTAACGTATGCTAAGCAAACATGAGAAGTAAATATTTATAAAAATCATTCATTGATGATCAATTTAGACACCCTCCCCCTCTCGCGCTCTCCGGCAGGTGGTCCTGCCTATAGGGCCGTTTGCGTCACGTGTGAGTCTCGCGCACCCGCGTCCACTCATTTGGCACCATTCGTACCGTGCGCGTTTCCAAGTGGGATTGTTGTTTGGAAGCTGTAAAAGCAGTCATCGCGAAAAAGAAAAAAACAGCCGTGTACGTGTGCGCGTGCATATGGAATACCTTTCTTCGCGCTTTTGCTTCCCCCAACTCGTTTTTTCCGTCTAGCATGACGCGTAAGTGATGGTGCACATTTTGGTTTCGTGACTTGTCAGCTGGATCAGGTTGTGTTGGATGGATGTGGCACGAATTGGATAATTGCATTTTTCCTGTTTAAAATGCACTCAACGGGAATGACATTCCCGTGACAAGTTTCCGTTTTTTTGCAATTTTCTGAGCAATGGAGTGAGGCGAGGGCGCACGGGAAGCTGGTTAAAAGGAGCTTTTATATCTTATTTTACTTCACATAGACTGATGGGGACTTTAACTGCTAACAGATGTCTGTACTGTAATGTGCACTCCTTATTTTCTGTTTAATGCCAGTTTGGATTTTACCTGTTGGATATCTGCATGTCTAGGATGGCTCGCTTTGGAGACGATCTGCCCACCCGCTATGGAGGTCCAGCGGGCGCCGGGAGAGGGGGAGCCCGGGCGGGAGGTCCCTCGGGCGGTCAAAGAATGTACAAACAGTCGATGGCTCAGAGAGCCAGGACAATGGCTTTATATAATCCTAAACAAACCAAACAGAACTGTTTCACTGTCAACCGCTCTTTGTTCATCTTCAGCGAGGACAATGTCATCAGGAAATATGCCAAAAGAATAACAGAATGGCCATATCCTTATTGTTTATGATTAATGGAGAATGCAAATTGCTCCTTGACATCTCCACTTCCACATTTTTCGGTGCTCATTCTCCTTTATAAGCGTACAAATGCACGCTTTTAGGTTTGGCATTGTCAGATTATAACTGTTGCGTGCTGAAATGGTGCCTGACACTAAGATGTCTTTTGTCTTCACGTGTTCGCACACTTTAAGGCATTTGGCAGCTGGTGATCGTGTCGGGGTGTTGGCTCATCAGCCTTTTATTTTCTAATCCAAGCGTAGTAAAGTCAAGCAGTCGCTCAGATGTTAGGCACCGCTCCATAGCGCTCTTCATGCACTTAGCCCTGGGATAACGGTTTATTTATTTATTTTACTCTGGTTAAATGTCAGGTTTAACTTGGGATTTGGCAGCGTTTCGAAAAGGTTTGGCACGGTCTAATGTATGAATACAGTGTGAAAAAGAAACATTAGAATGTTATGGTGAATTGATAAACAACATACAACCAATCATAAATTGGCTTAGCTCTTCCTGATAGAATATTCATGAGCTTGCAATAGTCTGAAACTTTCTGGCGTTTTTTTTGGAAGCAGCTGCATTAGTTATTATAATTAGAGTTTATATATATATATATATATATATATATATATATATATATATATATATATATATATATATATATATATATATATATATATATATATAACGTTTTATTAGCATAATGGTTAGTTAAGGCAACTCAGAACCTTAAGTATAAGCTTTATGTATTTAAAATAACTGATAAACCTTTGAAATGGCTTGTTTTGAGCTCTGGGGATGTTAATTGATCGTTTATTAATTTGTTTGTTTGTTTGATCGCATATGCATAAACGATTGTGTAATAGTGTGATCATAGTGTGCTTTACAGAAAATTCTACCAATCTATAGCTCCTCCCACTCTCGCAAAGCACTACAAATGTTGTAATCAAGTTGGCCATGTCTCTACTCTCTCTTACATTACTTTAATATTTGTATATTTTACAGTAAACATGAATATATTGTTTCTATAGATCCAACCAACAACGTTGAATGAATGTTTCATTTAGGTCTATTATAGTTGTTTATAGTTGGATTGTGTCATTTGCAATGCTTCATTGGATTGTAGCTCCCAATTTTCATATACTCCTTCAGCCCAAATCAAAGTTTATATTATTGTAGATGGTTTGTTTGGTTCATGGCACATAAGAAAAAATATATATCTTAATGGGAAAATTACAGTAATTCTGTAATAGTAGGTATGCACTGATGCAATGGTCTCAAACTCAAATCCGGGAGGGCCACAGCTCTGCATAGTTTAACTCCAACCACCTCCAACTTACACCTGCTTAATAGTCTCTAGTAGTCTTGAACAACTTGAATAGTTGGATCAGCTTTGTTTGATTAGGGTTGAAGTAGAACTGTGCAAAGCTGCGGCCCTCTAGGAATCGAGTTTGAGACCTATGCGCTAATGGCATTTATAGATTAATTTACATTGCAACTTTAATATGTTCTTTGTGTCAACGTTTAGAATCCGAACTCATTACTTGAAACCTTTTTTGCAGGAAAAGCACCTCTGTAATGAAGAAGCGTAGCTCTCCATGGTGCTGAATTATCACCACTAATCTTCCAGTAACCAGATTTTATCATTTAAAGCATTATACGATCAAGAATTATTCCTTTATTTTTCATAAATGTATCTAGATTGTTGGACTAGGCATGTAAAAATCCATCCCTCGATTTGTTCAAATTCAGGAAGGCACCTATTGTGTTAGGTTTGTGTAGCATGTAGAGAAATTCCTCTAGGGGTGACAAGAATGTGATTGAAGCGGCCATTGGACCTTTCCTTTCCATTCCTTTCCTACATGAATAGCAATTCCATAAGGACTATAGCCTTAGGAAACGGGCATAGAAAATGAATTGGAAAAATAGATCATGTCCTAAGAGTGGAATATAATGGCTGACCATCCACAAAGATGTGAGCAGCCTTTCAGTATTTCCTTTTAAAAAAGGATGAAAAAGATTTTAATATCAGCAAGACTAGTGGAGTTGCACGATCATTTCATAGCTGTAATAAGGTTGCACATATGGCTCCGATGAAAAAAAAAAAAAAAACTATCATGCCAACCTAATGGTAAATCATGATCTCTGCACTGTAATGTTTTTAGTGTTGAAAGCATATCTCACTTTTATGTCCAGACCTCTGTATGTCATTTCCAGCTTGGAGGCAAGTGGTGCAAACGCATTCAGCATTACTGCTTGTGGGTCTGACTTGTAGTCGTCTCAGAATCACAAGGACATGAAGTGATGTTATATGTCAATTGCTTGATTGAGCTTGGAGGTATGGGAGTTAGGGCTCTGCTAGGGTTGTTCTGTCTTCGTCTCCTAATGATTTAGTGATTGAGTGTTCAAATGACACAATCCATTTGTCCTTGTTGTGGTATGTAGGGGAAATTCAAAAGTAATGACCACAAATGAGGAGCTGAGTTCAACACATGAAAAATAGTATCCAGTGAATTGGTACTGTTTTAACATTTTCTTTTTATAATGTTAATAACAATGTTTCTGTTATTTTATGTCATCAACAGCTTTAAAGGGATAGTTCACCCAAAAATGTAAATTCTGTCATCTCTTACTTAGCCCTTACTTATTTCAAACCTTTATGAGTTTCTTTCTTCTGTCGAACACAAAGAAAGATATTTCAAGGAAAGCTGAAAACCTGTAAACCCCCCCCCCCCCCCCAAATACTATGGAAGTTACTAGCCCCTTTCACACATACAGACCTTTCTGGAAAATTGTCGGTAAATTGTCAGTATGTGTGAACAGGCCCTTTTTGAAAATACTGGTAAATTTGTTCCTGCAATTTTCTGGAAAGAGAAGTTGTAACATTACCATCCTAATTTGCCGGAATGCTGCTCTGTGTGAACACGGAAGGAAAATTGCCAGAATGAGCGCGTTTACGCTTAGAACGTGTTGACGTGAGACGTCTACTCCAGCCAATCAGAACATTCACATGCATTCACAGCCACGCTGTTTATGCCTTTGAAAATTTTTCCAGACACATTTAACTGCTAGATGCTAGACATAAATCGATTCTATGTTTCTTCTTAATGCCAACTGTGGAAAAAAATGATCTTTGCTTTGCTTTGCTCCGCTGCAGTTGCTTGACGTGTGTGCACGTGAAGCAGCCGGTGAGCGCCAGCACACACACATATTATGAACACCTCAACATGTGAAAGTGTTCCTCCTTGTGTTTTTATCACAGTTGTTCACAATACTTAACCATCCACAGAGTGTGTAATGTAGTCAAATGTTTACAAATACAAGGGTAGCCGTTTAGAGCTCATTCCTGGTTAACAATGTGAGAATTTACAGGAATTTTGGAATGTATGTTTAAATGTTCTTTTTTGCAAAATTCTGTAACATCCGTGCCTGTGTGAACAGCGCTTATTTGAAGTAATTAAAGTAAAGTAGATTAGATTAAAGTAATTTCTGAAATTTTCCAGAAATCTACGGGCATCATTGTAAAAGGGGATAATGGCTACAAGTTTCCAACATTTTTAAAAATACCTTTTTTCTCTTCTACATAAGAAATTCATAAAGGTTTGAAAAAAGTAAAGGGTGAGTAAGTAGTGACAGAATTAACAGTTTTGAGTGAACTATCCCATTAAATGCTCGAGTTCTAATGTCAGGTGAATTCTGATTGGCTGATCTCTGTTTCGGATTACTAATGCATTATAGTTGTCCTTCAAGTTCTAAATGGCCTTTCATAGCCACATTTAGAAGATTCAGTTTAACTGGTAAAATAGTTTCTATTGTGGAACACATTTTATTTATTTATTTAAACATTATCAGGTAAAACATTCCACTGCATGATAAGACACTATTCGGTTTGATTGTGCTCACTTTTGGATGATTTTCCGCTGCATGCGCACAGAATCTGGTACTGTTTTTAGCATGACCTCAAGTGACATTTCAAGCAAACCTTGCAGTTATCAAAATGTAATGGTAGGGTTGTCATAACACTGGAATTCAGTACCATTCGATAATGAAATTTTAAAAACATTAACGCTGATTTGCTATTGGGTTCACATGCTCTACAGAAATGACTGTGATTGGCCATGAAGCTCATCAGTTCATCGAACCCACCTCTGTTTACCGAGTGTAAACACCGATACAGGGACACTGGAGCATTTTAAAGCCACGATTTATTAGTGGATGTCTCGTATGTTAGCTTATAGACAAACCAGCTGATGGACATGACTTTAAAACACTCCAGTGTCCCTGTATCTGAGGTTACACTCAGTAAACAGATGTGAGTTCAGTGTACAGTTGACCTTCATGGCCAGTCCCAATATTTTCTTTGGGCTCGTGAACACAATAGCAAATCAGCACATATAAGAACGTGCTCAAATGTTCGCGGGATATGGACATTCTTAAAATTTAAGTACCGATTGGAATCGAATTCCAGTATTGTGACAACTCTAAATACACATTGCTGATTGCCGATTGGTCAGAGCGAAAAATCACTGTCACTACCAGCGCCATTGGATTTTCAACACCAAACCTGCTATATTTAAATAGGCAGCAGCAGCCACTGCTCGAGAACACTATTCCATTGGTTGCATCCATTGCCTCTGTGTTGTAAGTTGGTTTGTGTTGTGTGTTTATGTCACTTTTACAATGATGGCGGTAGAGGCAGTTTATCTATAGTTAAAATCCAGAACAATCATGCGGCAATTTGTATCTTTTCGAGTTAGTGGCTAGTTCGTGTGAGTTAGTGCAACCCAGTACGATTTGCTTATCCTTACAATGACGGTGAGGTATTAGGGGTAGGTTTGAGTGCCACGCCTCCTTTTTAAAGTCGTATGTTTTCGTTTGACTGAACTCTTATAAATTCATACAAATTAGCCACTAAACTGGCAAAACGTAAAATACTTCTGTTTCCTCATGAGATCAGGCTGAAAAATCCCACCTACTTTAAGCGATACTAAACTCCAGTGGAAATTTACATTGAAGTCGTGCCAAATCGTATTGCACTGTGGAAAAGTGGCTAAAAGAAGATATTATATATATATATATATATATATATATATATATATATATATATATATATATATATATATATATATATATATATATATATATATATATATATAAGGTCAATAAGGTCCAAAGAACATTGATTTAAATTGCATGAAAAATAATATCTTTCTTTATTCCACAGAAGAAAGACTTAAGAGGGATTGTTCCCCCAAAAGTGAAAATTTACTCAAGTGGTTCCAAACCTTTATGAGTTTCTTTATTCTGTTTAACACAAAAGATGGCATTTGAATAAAGCTGAAAACCTGTAACCCTTGACCTCCATAGTATGAATAACAAATATTATGGAAGTCAATAGTTACATGTTTCTATCTTTATTGAAAATATCTTCTTTTGTGTTCGACAAGAATGAAACACAAACTGGTTTGGAACAAGTAAAGGAATTTTCAGTATTTGGTCAACTATTCCTCTAAGGGTTTATTTTTTGGCCTTTTTTTTTTTTTTTTTTTTGCAACACGTCAGTCATCAGCCATAGATATCTTCAGAATTTCAAAATGTTCTGGATTTGTCATTGTCTTGATTTGCATTGTTTGTTATTCCACTTTTTTTCCTTGACTAATCCACTCCATTTGAGTACCTGATCCTCACCACCATCATCGCCAACTGCATCGTCCTGGCCCTCGAACAGCATCTCCCAGCCTTGGACAAGACCCCCATGTCTGAACGCCTGGTGAGCATCAACAGTCTCCTATTTTTTTTATCTCAGTCTCTCTCTTGATTATTCAGGTTTCATTGCGTTACAAATGTCTATCACGTATCAGTATTACTCATCTTCGCTGAATAGGACTGCAACCGTATCTCAGGAGAGAGAAGCCACAATGACAGTGCATTCAGCGCAGAGCGAGTGAGAGATAACTGTGTATTTGGCTTGCTTTTCTTTCCACCCACACACCCGACATCCCCGCTGGAGTATATTGATTGATCATTTTAGCGGTCTTCCACTGGTCGGCGTGGGTGACCGGTGAGCCTGTTGGAGCGGAGGCTGTTATCCCACTCTCAGAGCTCCCATCCAGGGCCACCGAGAACCACCCAAGCACTCCACGCAGGAGATATGTCTCGGTCTCATTAAAACCCAGCCTGCTGGGAACCATTGACGAATGCGTGCATAACGCTGCTCCTCCATGATCCGAGCTGAACCCATGCAGAGCAAGCTTTGATCCACTGCCTTTCTCTTATTCCCCCCGCCTGCAACAACAGTTGAGTCTATTGAGTCAAGGCGATGCAACATCACCGCTTCAAAGTTGCACAATTAAAGCCAGAGCCGGACATGTTGGCGGATTAATGGTCTCTTTGTGAAGCTGAATATGCAGGCGGCGATGTTGGATTGCACACTCTCTGGAGGAGCATCGAGAACACACAGAGGAAAAAACAGCATGAGCACATTAGGTCAATAGGATACTCTTCAACATGCAGGAAATAGATCAAATAAAATGGGTCGTAGTGAGTCTAATAGGCTAGAGTTTCTCAACCACGTTCCTAGAGGACCACCGACACTGCATGTTTTGGATATCTCCTTTGTCTGTCACACTCCTTGCAGGTTTTTTAGTCTCTGCTAATGATCTGAATCAGGTGTGTTTGGTTAAGGAAATATGGAAAATGTGCAGAGCTGGTGGGCCTCCAGGAACGTAATTGAGAAACACTGTAATAGGCGATCATTAATTGTAGTGTTAATTAATATTCTGTCACTTATTTACCTTCATGTTACCTTCACGCTCAGACCGACTCTTCGTCTTCCTAAAAAAAGTGGATTTTAGTAGATATTAGTATTTAGATGTTTGGTAGATATTTAGTTGGCAGCACTTTACTTGAAAGTGTGATCATTAGGCATGGAATGATAACCGGTTTCAAGGTTTACCGTGGTTTGGAAAAGTCACATTTTTAAAAGGGGGTGGTCTACTACGATGTCATAAATGTGAATGAGATTTTATGCCTGCTTAAAAAAACTGTTATTAAATGTAATTTGCTCTGTTATGTCATTTGTAAAGATGACATTGTTGTGTCATGAATATTTTTCTGATGACGTTTTTTCAGTGGAACAAATTGTATTTGTCAATAAAATGTCATTAGTCTGTTAAATAGTTAATATTTAATGACAGTATAATGACAAATTTAGCTTGTACCACTCTAGTTGAGGGTAAAAAAAATATTATTAATTATATTGATGGTGTTATACACTTACCAGCCACTTTATCAGGTACACCTTACTAGTACCGGGTTGGACCCTCTTTTGCCTTCAGAACTGCCTTGATCCTTAATGTTATAGATTCAACAAGGTACTGGAAATATCCCTCAGAGATTTTGGTCCATATTGACATGATATCATCACGCAGTTGCTGCAGATTTGTCGGCTGCACATCCATGATGCGAATCTCCCGTTCCACTACATCCCAAAAATGCTCCGTTGGATTTTGATTTGGTGACTGTGGAGGCCATTTGAGTACAGTGAACTCATCGTCATGTTCAAGAAACCAGTCTGAGATTAGTTTCCCTTTATGACATGGCGCACTATAATGCTGGAAGTAGCTATCAGACGATGGATACACTGTGATCAAAAAAGGATGGACATGGTTAGCAACAATTCTCAGGTAGGCTGTGGCGTTGACATAATGCAAAGTGTGCCAAGAAAAAATTCCTCACACAATTACACCACCACCGATTATTTACGCTGAACCGTTGATAAAAGGCAGAATGAATCCATGGTTTAATGTTGTTCATGCCAAATTCTGACCTTACCATCCAGATGTCGCAGCAGAAATCAAAACTCCTCAGACCAGGCAACATTTTTTAAATCGTCTATTGTCCTATTTTGATGAGCCTGTGCAAATTGTAGCCTCAGTTTTCTGTTCTTAGATGACAGGAGTGGCACCCAGTGTGGTCTTCTGTTGCTGTAGCCCACCCGCCTCAAGGTTGGACGTGTTGTGCATTCAGAGATTCTCTTCTGCATAACTTGGTTGTACAGTTGTAAATTTGAGTTACTGTTGCCTTTCTATCAGATTGGACCAGTCTGCCCATTCTCCTCTGACCTCTGGCATTAACAAGGCATTTGTGCCCACAGAACTGCCGCTCACTGGATATTTTCTCTTTTTCTGGCTATTCTCTGTAAACCCTAAAGATGGTTTTGCAGGAAAATTCCAGCAGATCAGCAGTTTCTGAAATGCTCAGACCAGCCCGTCTGGCACCAACAACCATGCCACGTTCAAAGTCACTTAAACCACCCTTTTCCCCCATTCTGATGCTCGGTTTAAACAGCAGCAGATCGCCTTGACCATGTCTACATGCCTAAATGAATTGAGTTGCTGCCACGTGATAGGCTGATTCGAAATTTGTGTTAAGTAGCAGTTAGGTGTACCTAATAAAGTGACCGGTGAGTGTAGAATTCATGACATAGTTATAATGGCTTCTTGATAATTATTTTTATGACAGATTTATGACAAGTTTTAGTAATGTCAAGTTGTAATGACAAAGCCAAAAACAGGCTCTGATTTATTTATATCATCTTTGCACGTAAGATGTCATAACTGAGCAAATGACACTTAATGACAGTTATAATAAGCATGAATAAAATGTCATTTACATTCATTGCAAGTCTCTGGCCTTGATTATAAATGTGAATGTCTTATGAACACCCATTCAAGTAAAGTGTTACCAATTGAGTTTTTTTGTGTGCATATCTATTAGGGATAGAAATCTTTAGGGACTTCACGATCCAATTCTGATTCCAGGAGTCCCGGTTCGATTTCAAAAGGATTCTTAACCTACATACATACATTTGGCTGTCAGTGCTTATTGTTTCTCAGTTTCTGGCTCATTTTTACATAGATCCACATTGTCACAATCTAATGTGAAAACAGAATGAATTCTGAAATGTTTAGAATCGATTCAGAATCAGACCAGAATCTTGTACTCGCTACACTTTGTGTGCCCAGGCCGTGGATTAAAGCTAATAATATTGTAAATAATATTCACAGACCAATTATTTTGCTTTATTGAGACCTTAGTGTATCATCACGAGTCACAGGGATTGATTTGGACTTGTTTGTGTGTGTTTATTTTTATTTTTTTAAAAAGTTTCCATTGTCATTATAAAAATCACCAAACACCACAGATTCAGCTAAAAATCTTAGGCATAGTAAATTTAATATACATTTTCGTATTTGGACCAACTACGCCTTTAACACCCTGTAATTGATCCCAGGTTTGGGCAGCGCGTAAATGAAGAGTTTTATTTTTCAGTCTTCATTGTTCCCTGTGTAGCAAAGCTTTAACCTCAACCTGTCAAACTGATCAACAGCTTGTTTGCTTTAACACTGCGACGCAACCAGTTCCCAACCTGTTGCCGATCTTAAACTTCCCCCTGATACCCAAACACCGCAGACAAGGATGTTCATTATTAATACACTCTTTGAATCTATACATAATAGATTAAAATGTGCCGTCTGCAGCCATACTCACTCATTTCTCCGCTCTCATAAATCACCCGTCTCGCACATCTGCTCCCACAAGCACATTTTTGCCAAGTGATTTCATAGAGACAACACGACAGGTGCTGTCTAGATAATTAGACTATCATTGAGGAAATATACAACAGTGCTTTACGCTCTTTAATGGAGTTTAAGATTAAATTAGTTTATTATTATTATTATTATTATTTCTGATTGCTAATGGAATTGTATTTTCGAAGGCACTGTTATTTTTACAGACTGCCGAAAGATTGAACAGTGTGGCATTTTCCTTGCTGTACCAAACTATAATCATAAAAGCGATATCATGCTGCTGTTATTGAAGCCTGCCATAAACATTTATATTGCGTGGATAAGGTTTGGATCTAAAAGAGGGCCATAAGATGACTTGTTTGTGAGCAGGGATGATAATTGCACTCATAAAGTGGGAGGGATTTGTGGGAGCAGAGCTCTGAAGAGGTTAGTCCGGTGTAAGTGCCTGAAGAGCCGTAGGGCTCTGCTGACATTAATGGGAATGAGTTCAAAAGCAATGCGACATGCTGTACCCAGGACTGAATCTCTTTAAGTACATTCTTCTAACAGATTTCATTACTCGTGCTTGCTATATTCCGTACAGTTTCAAGTGGTTTGATATATATTTTTCTCCTTCAGATGGAACGTTCACTGATTCAGTAGTACTAATTCGGGCTCCACCATATTGGAAAAATCTGACATTGCAAATTTCATTTTTCTGCGATTTATTTATTATATATTTATATATACGATTATAATTTCATCAGATGAATCGAATCGCTCTATTTCGATTTTATTAATTTAGGTCAGAAATGTCCAAACTCTGTCCTGGAGGGGCAGCATTCAGCATATTTTATTTCCAACCCCAATTAAATGCATCTTAACCAGCTTATCAAGCCTTTTCCAGGTATACAAGAAAATTCCAGGGACGTGTGTTGAAGGAAGTTGGAGCTGAAATATGCAGGACAATGGCCCTCTAGGACCGAATTTGGACATCCCTGATTTACATATATTGACATGATCAAGTTTGTTTTTATTCAGTGCTTTTGCATAAATAATAATTATAATAAATTAAAAGCATAAATAAATACAGCAGAGCATAGATAAAAGTGAAACAAACAGTGCTTTATGGTTTTCTGGAAAGTCTTGCAGTATTCAGATAAGATAAAATAGCATCGTCATCATTGTAAAAATTATTTTAAAATAATATCTTTCTTTTAATCTTTAATGAATCATTTAAATCCTGCAATGTGACTATTACTGGTACACCCATTGTGATATTGATGCTTAAACGATATATTGTTCAGCCCAAGTACTAATAGAGTTATCACAATACTGAAATTCGATACCAATCGATACTGAAATATTTAAAAAAAGCCCATTTCCAGCGAACATTTGAGCACATTCTTAAACAGTGCTAATTTTCCATTGTGTTGTCATGCTCAACAGAAATGACTGTGATTGGCCGTGAAGGTCACATCGATCACCTGGTTTGTCTATAACCTGACATACGTACATGAATCATGGCTTTAAAACGCTCCAGTGTCCCTGTATCTGTGTTTACACTCAGTAAACAGCCGTGAGTTTGGTGAACTGATGATCTTCATGGCCAATCACAGTCTTTTTTCAGCAACACTCGACAGCGCACAAATGTTAGCAGGAATAGACGTTTTGAAAATTTCTGTACTGTTTGGTACAGAATACTAATATTGTGAAAACCCAAAGTTCTGTGAGCAAATGAAACCTTTTAAAATAAAATAAATCATTATTTTTTGAGGTAGATTACTAAAAAATTTACATTCTGACCTATCCCTTCACTTTCAAATGTATTTGAGTATTTTTCTTTTGTTTAACACAAAAGGAGATATTTTAAAAATGCTGGTAGCTGGCACCCACGGACTTCCATTGCATTTTTTTCACCTACTACGAATGTCCATGAGTGCCAACAAAAAGCATTTTTCAAAAAATCTCCTTTTGTGTTCAACAGAAGAAAAACTCATCAAGGAGTATAAATTAGGTCATTTTCATTTTTGGGTGAACTGTCCCTTTAAGTATTTTTTTTTGCTATTAAGTTTAGCTTTTTTTTGCATATATATGTTTAGTTTATTATTGCTATTGTTGTGGACTTTTTGGAACATTATTAAAATATAGTCTATTTGTTACCATTAACCTTTGACTGCCCCACCAAGAAAAAAATGTTTAGATTGCATTTCTTAACTCCTAATGTCATTAGTTAACACACTCAATGCATTTCTTTTCAACACATCCCATAATTTCTAAAATATCAGCCTCTACCAAATGGTTGATATGTCGGTTTATGGTAAAAGTACCGGAATTAATACATAGACTATGAAAAATCTGAAAATATGAAGTGTAAGAGCAATTTATTAAACAAATATTCAAAATAAAACATTTTTGAATACTAATTCACCTTTATTTTTTTTATAAAATATTTCGGATTGTCATTTAACATGTTTTCTTTTTTTTAGCAATGAAATCAAAATCAAATGTAGTAGTGCAACATCTTGATTCTTTAAATGACTTTAAAAGTCATTATTTAAAACTGTCGAAATATGCTCAACCTTTTGGTAGAGGGGGCAGTTAAAGAGTTAATATTTCCATTGTTGTTAGTCAAGAAATTATCTTTGTTTGTTTGTTTGTTTGTTCATAATTTTTTTGGTCATAAAACTTTTTTTTTCGTATTTGGTATTGGATGCCCCAAGTTTAGTGGTGCTAACTGAATATTGCAGCACAGTAAAATCAAATATTTAATTATTTTATTTAAATATTATTGCATTAAAATAGCTTTAATCCTTCATTTATTTTTTTGCTTAAAAATGTCAAGCGGGATTTAAAAAAATATATATGCATATGATTGTTGTAAGAACAGTTGTATTCAAAAGTTTGGGGTAAACGGGATTTCTTTTTAAACTACTTTTTATGTTTTATTTAGTAATAGTAATTGTTTACAGTAAATTCATTCATTAATTTATTTTCTTTTCGGCTTAGTCCATTTATTAATTTGGGGTCGCCACAGTGGAATGAACCGCCAACCTATCCAGCACGTTTTTTACGCAGCGGATGCCCTTCCAGCCGCAACCCATCTCTGGGAAACAACCTTTCACATTCATTCTGTGTTCGCGTGGGTTTCCTCCGAGGGCTCCGGTTCCCTCCATAGTCTAAAGACATGCGCTACAGGTCAAGTGAATAAACTAAATTGGCTGTTGTGTATTTATGTTTTCCAGTACTGAGTTGCAGCTGGAATGGCATTCACTGTGTAAAACATATGCTGCATAAGTTGGCGATTCATTCGGCTGTGGTCATCCCTAATGAATAAAGGGACTATGCTGAAGGAAAATGAAGAATGAATGAATGAATATTTAAGTAATGCACTTGCATTGTATGTCTATATACTTAGATCAAGTCCCAACAGGGCACAGTTTTACATAATACCACAGCTTCGCCCTCTTTATGACAGAAGAAACCCATGCATCTTCTTTTCTATGTCCATCATGCAAAAAAAAGCTTCAACCTATATTCTGCTTTCTATCTTTCTTGCATGCGTCAATAGATGCACTCTTCTTTCAAGCACACAAAAAGCACACAAGTTATCCTTCTTTCTGCTCTTTCTTCCTGCAGGACGACACAGAGCCCTACTTTATCGGAATATTCTGTTTCGAGGCCGGCATTAAGATCATCGCCTTAGGCTTCGTGTTTCACAAAGACTCTTACCTTCGCAACGGCTGGAACATAATGGACTTTGTGGTCGTTGTGACTGGGTGAGTCCACAACCTGCAGGATGAGAGGCTGGTGTGTGTGTGTGTGTGTGCGTGTGTGTGTGTGTTATGTCTTCAGGAAAGTAAGAGATCGGCTTTGTTTCTTTGTCAAAGTGCCTTTTTCAAAGTGTTCTAGTCTGGTCCCTCTCTTTACTTATGTAAACATTGGCCCCTGGTTGATCCAGTACTATTTCGAAAGTTGAGTTTTTTTTTTTTTTTTTTCTGGATGTTGGAATATTTGGATATTGCAAGAAAATCATATTGGATCAACTTGTTACACCAAATATATATATATAGCTTAATATATTTTAGCTTAATTTATTACCGAAGACTTAATTCGTTTAGCTAAATGAGCAGTGTAGCTGGAAATAGGAGTGTACACTTTAAAAAGACATCTATAAATTAAGAGTTTTTAAAATGTTTTATTTTTTTTGTTAAATTTATTTATGCTTTTTTATTTTGGTTTTATGTTTATTTGTTTCATTTATCCTTGTGAATTGCATTATGGGTTCTAGACCTTGCCTCCAACAACTTTCGATGTTGAAAAGTTTAAACAAGTGACTTGTATTTGTGAAGTTTATTTATGAACTAATTTTGTGAGGATCACTTGCATATGATTGTCCACGGCTGGTCCTACAATAACTAACACATGACTCACCAATCAGACCATTCCTAACTTACTATAAGTAACCAAACATTCTTATTTCAGTGTCATCGTCTTAAAGAATCTCCCCTCACACTCCTACTTCCCCTCTTTCTAGATTAAGCAGCATGGCGGCCCAAGGGCTCGCACTGTTGCCTCACAGCAGGAATGTCACTAGTTGAGGTTTCTTCTGAACCAGTCGACATTTCTGTGCAGAGTTTTGCTCGTTCTCCCCGTGCACGCGTGGGTTTGCCCCGGGTTCTCTGGTTTCCTCCTACAGTTCACAAAGCTTGCAACATATTAAATTGAAAACACCAAATTAGCATCATAGTCAAGCTCCTAGTAAGCTGTTATCTCTCATTAGCCATCCCTACATCTGTCATTAGCCAGAAATACGTTGGGGGAGTTCATCGAGATCTACCTGAGCTCAAACTCCCCTCTTGCACTACTAATGGGAGGGAGCCCCAGGGCTCGAGGATCTTTAAAGCTTAGGGCTCTCTGCTGGGACAGCATGCCAAGCAAGCTTATTACCAGTCATCAGCTAAGTGTGAACTCTTGAAACACATTTAATTGCTTGAAGTGATGTATTGACTTGCTTGATGTTATAAAGTACACTACAAAACACTGCGGTGTTCCACAGGCTTTGATTCTTGCACCCCAGCTATTCTTGTTATATATGCTGCCCTTAGGAACTATAACGAGAATGTTTGAAATCATGTGTCACTGCTATGCAGATGATACACAGCTTTAAAAACCCATTTAAAAAATGGTAGCCTAACCCTCAATAGATTACAAGATTGTCTTGGCAAAATCAAACTCTGGTTCACCGATAACTTTATGCTTTTGAATAAAGAGAACACTCGAGTTATTCTTTTTGGTCCTCCACAGCATTCTAGCAAACCACTGACTGATCTCTGTGTATTAAACTGTTACCTTACCTCTGTTAAGGTTAAAAACCTTGGGTTTCTACTAGACAGTAAACATGACAAACAATTAAGTAAAATAGTGAGTTCAAGTTTTTATCATCTACGATGACTAGCCAAAATGAAACCCTTCCTAATCAAGAAGGGTTTTGAAATTTCTGAATAGACTATAACATTTTTCTCTTTGTTTATAAAACTTTGTATAACCCAGCGCCATCGTATTTTACTGATTTGATCACTACTAAGGCCCAAACCTGATTGGTCGGATCAAATTCCGAGTTACATCTATTGCAAACACCCCGATCTCGTCTCAAATGCAGGGGCGATAGAGCTTGTGCAGTTGTGTGTCTGAAACGATCTAATAAGTTACCATCAAATATCAGAATAGCATCTGTTTTTAATTCTTTGTTAAAGACTCATCTTTTTTTTTGAGTAAATTTAACATTCACTAATGGCGGTTCCAGGCTTTACTAAATTGCTTCTTTCTTGAAAACCTTTACTGTTATTTTTGTTTTATATTGTTGTTTTTATTGTAGTGTATTGCTTATTTTACCTTCCACTGCTATTGTACAGCACCGTGGTCGACCAAAGGTTGTAGTTAAGTGTGTTCTAAAAATAAACTTTGATTTTATTTGATAAAAAAAACCTGATAATAAACTGCCAGTACTTTTACTGTCGTTTTACATTATTTTATCTTTCTCTATATTATTTCTATATCAATATATTTTTATAAACAACACAGGCTCATTCTGAAAACATATCCCTATATACAGTTCTAAAAAGAGCAAAATTTGTAGCCAGAAGTATGTATGGCTGCATTTTGTCTTTAAAATGAACACTACGGACTGTATGCTGCCATTCCTATTCAAGCTAGCAGCTCACTGCTTACCTCTGTGTGGATAGCTTTCCCGCTGTTACCAGTTTATCCAGTGGCTTGCCATGTATGCTGGTAGACTTGAGACGCAGAAAAGAGTTGACTGAGACAACGTGTTTGCTAGTCTGGTGAAGAGCGGTTCCAGAAACAAGGGAAAACAAAAACAAATGGCAAAAAAATGAAATAAACAAGTAAATAACAGGGTGAGAATAAGGAAATATCTGAAAACGTGGTAAAAATCAGACAAGGGATGTCTTTTGAAAACACTCTCCGTTGGGTTTAGGAAAGTGGGTGGGCGTCTCAATCACTGCTTTTGAAAGGGCTATTGGTTGGGCTTAGGGAAGGAGGAGGGTGGGTCAGTCGATCTGTCTGTCAGTCAGCCAGTCAGTCAATCAGTCAGTCATTCGACAGTGGCCTCTGGTGGATTTACGCAAGAACAGTATGCGCTGGTTTGGTTTCAAACTAACTAAATTGTCAATGAAAGTCACTTTGTTAAACTGCAGGGTTGCATTTTTATCATAAAACGTCAACAGTGGGGAGATCAACATTCCATAATGCAATTCATAACTGTAAACAAATGGGAAAAACTATGAATTGTGAAATGCGGAACTTGTTAATTAACAGATATTTTTTACAGTGTTTGTCTAGCTCAACGTAGGTAATTAATGTAATGACATATTATTTTAGCTTCAGATGAGATGCCAGCAGTGTTTGAAGTGTTATTTTACCTAGGCTGTTAAATCTGTAATGAAGGCACTCCAGGCAGCACAACAAGAAAATTTGGCTTTAGTTCCGGTATTTGACAAAGGTCAGAATAAATGAGGAAAGACGTGTGAAAAATATGCTGCAATCACAGGCATTCCTATCCGGACAGGATTTGATTTATCCGAGGATGCCTGAGTTTGCTGGAAAACAGGTTATTTGGTTTATAATTGTTTTGCTGAGGTTGTGTGACAGAAATATAATGTTGGTCTGGGATGATAATCACATTTATCTGACCTCCTCATGAAGAAAATTTCTTTATGCTTAAGACTTTTGCTGTTGATTAACGCCTGCAATTTACCTTTTCTAGTACAAGTTCACCTTCTGCTAGTGAAATTGAGAATTTTCTTTCCTTTTCGAATTGACTTACGCAGATTTGTCAACATTGTCCACAAACAAGTGTTTTTATCCACTAAAATACACTCCCTTTAAAAGTTTGTGATCAGCAATTTTTTTTTATCTGTAAACTATTAATGAAATTTTTTCCAAAATTAAAATACCAATGTTATGTAATTTAGGGCATTTTTTGCATTAAAAAGGATTTTTTTTTTTTGGCCCCAAAATACCAATATTTTATTTTCAGAAAAGTTTCTAAGTCAATACATAATAACCCTGATTCTAATGAAAATAAAAACATTTGTTATTCCAACCAATGGGTATTTTCTGGAAAAAAACAAAAACTTTTATTATTATTTTTTTAATTTAATAAATTTATTTTTATTTTTATTTTTATTTATTTTATTTTTATTTTTTATTTAATTTAATTTATTTCTATTTTAGATTATTATTATTATTATTATTATTTAATTTTATTTATTTTATTATTTATTTTATTTTTATTTATTTATTTATATTTATTTGTTATTTTATTTTATTTTATTTTAGTTATATTATTTTTTTATATTTTTTATTGTTTTTTTAATATTTTATTTTATTTTCAAAAATTACTTTTAGACCTTTCTAGAATAAAACAAATATCAAAAGTTACCATTTGATCAAAACAAATTTTTGAATCACCCAATATATATTTATAAATATATATTTAATTTCTAATAAATATAACAAAAACTGGTTGTTTCACAAAAACTGTGGTCTCTTCAGGTTGGTGTTTTATAATATCTCCTTTCTTTTCAACTTTGTTTTTATTGATTTTAATTATATTACATAACCCAGCAAACAATACAGAATATTAACTTGTATAATATTTCAGAATGTACTTTCCAACCCCAACATTGGTTAAACAAAAATGACATTTAAAATAAATTATAAAATAAAATACAACACTAGAAAAATACATTTTAATTGACCAATTTGTGTGCGTATATAATAAAATATCTCCCTTTCACTGTTATATTCCACAGTTGTTTGTCATTTTATTTTGTATTTTAAATGGACTGAAGCGTTTTTTCAGTGAATCTCATGATCTTGCTACAGTAAGCAACACTAACATGTTTTTACCTGTTTCTAATTTTAATAATGCACATAAAGCAGTGCTGACTGAGGCGAATAAGGTGTAAGCTATAATAAGCCTAAATTATATGCTATATTTGTGCCTCTTCAGCACATTTAAAATCTGGCTAAACTGGGATTGGATTGATTTGTGAATAAATGCAATGGTTTTTGTACCCTTAAACGGGTAGTTCACCCACAAATTTAAATTTACTTAATATTTACTCCAGCTCATGTTGTTCCTATTCTTTATGTTATTAATATATATAAATAAATACTTTGGAAGTCAAGGGCTTCTGGTTTCCTAAATATCTTCTTTTTTATTCAACAAACACTCAAATTATGTTTGCTG